GTCAGAGTGAGAAACCCAGTAAGTGTGGCTTAGGCCATGGGAGAATGGATTTTGAAGCGTCCTGATGCCAAGTTCTGCCTTATCTTTTGGATTTAGACAGGCACTGCAATTTTTCAGCAGGCTCATGAGCAAAGCTGCACTTTAGCAGTGTCATTCCAGCAGCGTGGGCTGGATGGAGTGGGTGGAAAGTAGAAATCAAAATTTCAATAAAACAATTGGAAGATGAAGACAGCAAGACGAGCTAGGGTGGTACTGAAATATTCTAGATGAGCTACAGTGGAGACTTAACCCCAGGCAAAGGTGGTCAGGTAGTGAGTATGAAACAGAGTGGGGAGATACTCAGAAGACATAACCATGACCATGTGATAACTGATCAGATGGAGGGTTGGGAAGTGTTGGTGGAGAAAAAGGGCATAACCTGTGGCTGGTTTTGCCCCCTCTGTTTTCTATCAAGTGTAACTCAAAGTCTTTGACTTCATCGAAAAGTGAAAAACAAAGCCTACTCTCCATAGACAATCCCACGCAACAGCAGAAACCAGTAGGAAACGTGAAGGCTGGACACCATGCCCAACAAATCCCACCATGGTGCCTACATTATGTCCAACTGCTATTTGTTTTGCTGGTAGCAAATCTTTATATTCTCCCCACCAAAAGCCTGGCAGAGCATGTATCCGTTGAAGGTGTGGAATGTGTGACTCTAGAATGGTGCTTGGGCCACCATGAGGAGTTAAAAATGAAAACACTCTGGTCCAATTAAAAAAGACACCGTTATACCCCAATCTGAACTTTCAATTTTTCCTTTCCTAGTAAAGCTGTGAGGCCCATGCTGGTCTGCAAATGATTTATCTGCCTCCATTCCTGCCAGACTTTGGCCCAGCTTCATCCAGACACTAGACTATAAATGGCTGAAGAAATAACAGGCAAGGAGCAGAGTTGAAAGGCCACTGGGCAACTGTTTTTCTTTAGCTCTGTCTGAACTGAATAATAAGCCAGCTGGGTTCAGCCAAGCCATGTCCACTCCACCTTTTATTACTCATGAGACAGTTTATGTGACCTCATCTCGGAGCAGTTACCGGGTCTGGCAAAGTTCCCAAGAGCCTAAAGCACCTCCATATATACTTCCTAGACTGATATTGCTGTTTATGTCTTGCTAAGCCACAGGAAGAACATTCCACTCTGCAAAGTCAGCTTATTATTTTGGGGGGGTAGGAGAGGGGAAAGAAGAAAGCAAAAAACCTTGGTGAGCTCTCCTTTACCCGATTCCATTCTGATGGAGATCTTTATTGCTTGCCAAAAGCTATGTGCTTTCTCTAGTTTGCAGAACCCTTATAGTTACAGAAGGCCATGTAAGTGGTTCTGGCCAATAGACATTGAGCAGAAGCAATGTGTGTCATTTCCAAGCTAAAGCATTTAAGAGAGTACACAGCCATCCAGCTCAGTCTTCCTCTGCCAGCTCACCTGGGAGCCATGTTTTACAAATAATGTAGCTACATGATGCAAGAAACTGAGATCTTTAAATCACTGCTTGAGAGCAAATTGTCCTAGAGAGCTGCCAGACTCATGAGTGAGAAATGAACCTTTGTGTATTAAGCCCCGGAGATGTGGGGGCTTGTTTGTTACTGCACTAAAGCCTAGACTAGTCTGACTAACAAAGAAAACAATCCAAAAATCACAATAGGAACTTAGACCTGGGGTTATCATGAAATAGCTTCAATTGCTGATTTAAGATTGAGCAAGAAGCCAGCAAGAATCTGAGCCAGGTCAGAGCAGGACTCAAGCAGCGTGCATGGCTGCAGAGCTCCTGGGCCCCCTGCCTTTCTACCTGCCACTTTGGGGGTTGGCTGGGCTACTCATAGATCCTGAGAGAGCTGTGAGCTAGGGATGGGGCTGAGCAGCCTAGAGGACATGTGGCATGGTGGAATCAGACCAAATGGAGAAACTGGCATCACACGAAGCTTTTTCATGTTGCTAAGCATGCTAAAACAGCATCATTTTGTGTATTGTGTTGGCTGGCTTGGCGTGCACAGCCAACACGCTCTTGTGCCAGGCACTGCTCTAGGCCCTAGGGGACTATAAGAGTGGTGAAAATAGAGCCCCATTTTACACTGAGCTTGCACTCTAGACCCAGTGTGCAGCCTTGGAGGCTAGGACACTTGGGCTGTAGTCACAGTTTTACCCTAACTATGACCTTGGGCAAGACCCATCCCCTATCTGTGTTTCATTTCTTTGACAATAAGAAGGAATATTTGGACTTGGCCCTATCTAAAACACTTTACAACTTGGGCTACCTCCAACAGAACTATAATGATGGCCTATGAAAAAAATTGCAAGGCTACTGGGCAGAGGGTGTCTACACCAGAAAAAGTGTATAGAAACGTCCAAATACCTAAAGTGGAAAGCTTCTGAAAACCTACTCATCCAGTTCTGCAAAGCCCAGTAACACCACTGATTCTTTAAATGTGTTATATATTGGCCCGGCTTGGTAGCTCAGTTGGTTACAGCATCATCCCAATACACCAAGGTTGTAGGTTCAATCCTTGGTCAGGACACATACAAGAATCAACCAATGAATGCATAAATGAGTGGAACAACAAGTCAGTATCTGTCTGTCTTTATCTCTCCCCACTTCCACTTTCTAAAAATCAATCAATCAGTGTGTTATATATTCAAAATATTTCCCCCTTTCACTTTGGTTGGATGTAGAACATTCCCCCAATAAGCTGGTTAACTCTGAAAATACTCATTCCTAAAACATATTCAAAGAAAAACACCTTGAGGAAGCATAAGCCCTCCTATTATTATATCAGAAAACTGGCTTCAGATGACTGCTTTTCTGCATTGAATGAGAACTATGTCCTCAGGAGTCTCTATACTTCTCAACTACTAAGCTCATCTTTAGAAATTTTTAAATAAAAATGCATTGCCTCTGTAAATATGCCAGTATTGATATTTTTGTCTATATAGAAGCTCCCAATTTCCCCAACACTTGCTGGTCAATATATATATATACACACACACCTAACATCAGATTAGTTCAAAGCTTGTATTGAATTTTGTTTATGTTTCTCAAAAGGAACATTCTGCCTTTTATTAAAGGAAATACCTGTGAGAAATAGCAAGGATGGCTCTTCTAAATGATCTACTACCTAAACTCAACTCACCTTCTTCTGCCTGTGGTTTTTCTCTCCTTAAAAATCACTATCCAGCACAAGATAGTGAAAAGAACACAGGCTGGTTGTCAGACAAACCTAGTTTTTAATTCTCAGTTCATGAATGTATTGATTATATGAACTTGACACTTGACACTTGAGCCCTCTCAGCCTCAAGAAAAGTGACATGCCAATATCTTGTGCACTCTTTACAAAAATCATGTGTCTACCACACATTCGGTATTCACAGTTGTTATCTATTATGATAGACCACTAGAGCTGAAAGCATCTTAGAGCTCATTTGGTCTGACCTCATCTTCCAGAGGCGGAAATGGGACCCGAAAGGAGCAGGGACTTGCCTGGATTTCTGGACGGTCTGAGAATCCCTTATCAGTCTGCTCCAGTACTGCCTCTCCCCCACCACCTCTCCGCCCCCAGGGTTCCCCCTGAGACATCCTGACCCAGTGCAGGCCTTCTCACTGATGTTTTCCTGGCCCTGCCGAAGCTTGTGTTGGCGCAGCGCTTCTAAAATGTCTCTGCCCTCTCAGTCCCCGGGAGCATCAGGCCTGTCTCGTGAGATCTTTGTCTCCGTAATTTCTGGTGTCCCACAGGGATTCATCCTGGGCCACTGTTTCCCTCACTCTGTAGAATTATGTTCCCAGTTTCTATACCTCCTATGATAATGACTCTCAAATTCGAACCTCCTTCCTGTCTCTGGAGAATTAGCTTCTACCTACTGCTCCACATATCTGCCTGGGTGTTTCTCAGCCACTTCACGTTCATCAGCACTGACAGTTATTCTTCAAACTACCCACCAAGCCTATGTATGGACTTCTCTTCTACCCATGGCACTACCATCCACCCAAACACTGGATTAAGACACTCGGGACTCATTTTTGTATTCTTTCTTTCCTTCGCTGTCTACACAACACCCTGCTCCTATGCTGAATATTTCTGAAGTCCATTCACACATGTGCATTGATAATACCACTGCTCTAGTTCAAGTCTTCCTGCTCTTCCTCATTTTCCCAAGTGCCCTACTTCCCTGAATACACACCATTCAAACCCATCATCCACAATAAGCAGAATAATTTGTCTAAAACAGAGCTACTTAAAGAGCAGCTCTCAGAAGAGTGATCAGGTTTCTGGACATGATAAAATAAGTTTATGCCAGAATGTGAATCGGCTACATCATAGGCTTGCTATTTAGTTCAGCTGACCTTTTTTTTAAATAGCAAGACATTCTCCATGAAAGAAACAAGTGTTGATTTATATTCTGTTACACGCTTCTTACATCACCACGAATCAGGACTTTGAATGTTCCTGGTCCCAAAAAGTCCAGGCCCAACAGTGTGCCATGTGAGACCACCTAAGGTCTGATATCCGCTTCTCTCTCCCATCATGTCACTCTGTTCCACCTCATCTTTTCTGCTCCAGAAACACTAACCTGCCTCTCAGCCTCTCCTCCTCCCCACCCAGGACCACCCTCCTCAGCCACACCCGCACTTGTAAGAAATACACAGTGGTGGGTTTCCTCCAGAAAGCCTTTTTATCATTGTCATCCCCATGCTCCTCCTTCCTCTACTCTCATTGTGTCTTATCCATCTCACTTGCTATACTGATCATGTTGTTTTAAAATCATTTACTTACATTCTTCTTCCAACTGTAATGTTAAGTCCTTGAAGATAAGATCTGCATCCTACTTGTCTCTAGTAGTCAGAAAACATAACACAGCTACTACGGTAATACCTAAACCTTGACATCTCAGTTGCTTAACAGCATTGGAAGTCACCTCTTGATTGCACAAAGTCCCATGCACGTGTGTCTAGATGGCGATCCCAGGTGGCTCACCTCCACATGGTCATTCAGGAAACCAGACTTTTAGATTTGGTGATGCAGCTAAATCACTGGGCCTCGGAGTCCTTCCCTGGACCTCCCGCCTTCAGCTGGGGATGGCAAAAGAGAGAGAGAAATATCACAAAAGTTCTTTTAGGAGCCACACTTGGACATGGCTTTCATTACTTTTGCTCAAACCCTTTAGCCAGAATCTAGTCACATGGTTGCACGTGACTGCAAGTGAACTAAAAATACTGTTACCTGTGGACCCAGAAGGAAAAGCAAACTGCTCTAAGGAGCACCCAAAGGTGCCTATGTTGGCCATGCCCAAACTTGCAGCATCTATGACTGCATCTTGGGAGAATGGGAAATACTACAGGCAGTGGCAGGCACAAAAGCAGAGAGCAGTTCTGACCCATCTCGGAGACAGGCGTCTTAGGCAAGTGGGCTTCTCCGAAGCTTCTTCGAGGGGTGTCTGCTCTACTTCCTTGCTGTTTCAGCAGCACCTGCACTGCGTGACAGAGAACTTTTAGAATCCCTCCTTTATTTATATTTCTATTTACATTCATCATTTCCAGCAGCTAAAGAAGAAAAGTAAAGAGTGTTATGTTCCATTTATACTGACCCCACATTTTTTTTCTGTGTGTTGATTCAATTTCCTAGGAAAATCTTTAAAGGTTCCATTTGAACTCAAGTGACATTGCCATTTTTTAACTTAAACCATTCCCCCAAAATCTCTTGAACTGAACTTTTAGTGGCACCCTTTAAACAAAACATTAATTCAGGACTCAGACAGCTTAACAAGTGTCCCTTTAAAGGAATAGTATTTAATCATATGAGCTGCTAAATTATCAATCCAAAGTTCAGAAATTTATTAAGAGAAGATGATATGAGATGGATCAAAACACATCATACTTGGGTGGGAAACAACTCATTTTACAGTTCCAAGGAAATATTCACGCCCTCTCTCAGCTGGAAGTTAGATCCAAGCCTTCCATTGCATCGGGCTTTAAATTGAAGAAAATTATGACTTCGAGTGATTTGTAACCCGACAAATGTAACATAATGAAATAGCCAGTCAAATAACATCCATTGGATAGTTTTCAAAAGCAGAGAAACTTTCATTACAAACCCCCAGTGCTATGGACATACAGACCCTTAAAACCATCAGTGTGTAGAAGCTCACCTATCTTAGCAATTTCTACCTATCCCTGAACACTTCCATGCACTGGCTTAAGGCTCTGAAGGCAGACCCTCATCCTTCATACTACATCTTGACTGCCTTTTATTTCAACAGCACTTTACAAAACAAAGAACTGAACTAAGGTATGTGCTTTCAGACCTCAGGCTGGCCCCACGTGACAAGCAGGGAGAAAATCTTTCATTACACCATGGTCTGCCCTGCTGCCTGGAAGCCAAGATTCAAACAGTCATTTCGATACATGCTTCATGAATTCATCAGTTTCTTCGGTGGACTTTTGAGTGCTGGCTCTGTTCAGGGCACTGGGCTAGCACCCGTTTTAAAGCCGAAAACACCTTCTCTAAGGAGCTTACGACCTGGTAAGGAAAAAAGACAGGGGCACCAATATTGACAATTCGGAACTATGTACTGGGCACCCACACACGCCAGGCATTGTGCTGAGTCCAGGAGAGTAAGGTAGATGGGACTGAGGCAGATGAAGAAACGATGACGATCATGTGGATAAAATGTGTGTGACTAAGAGCACTAGGGTGGCGTGTTGTATATGATGATGATCATAGTGATACTGGTAGTGATAACTTCTAATAAAAATAATAAATAATAACACACTATGTTACTGTGTGATTCTAGAAACTTTCTAAAAATATTATCCTCGTTATAAAATTATAAATGGTAGTAGTATCATTGTTATTATCCCCATGATACAATGGAGGAAATAGGAGCACAGAGAGAAGACGTAACTTGTCCAAAATCACACAGCCTCAGCTGGTGAAGATGGGAGTCGTACTTGGCGTTCTGACTCCAGACAACATTGTGAGGAAACAGACATGAGGAAACAATGGCGTTTGCTTAGGATGTAACTAGGAGTGGAATCCATGGGAGAGAGAATGTTTTGCCAGTTATTGAAAATAAGTATAGGAAGATGAAAAAAGAAGAAAACCAAGCTTCCCAGGGAATGGAAATGGTTCATACAAAGGCAGAGAGGCAGAAGGAGTGAGTCACGTTTAGGGACTGGCTTCTTAGTGGTACTGGAAGCAGAGACCAGAGACCTGAAAGGGATGATGTAGAAAGATGGAGTGGAAGAGGGAGGCAGGTTCTGAGCCTCTATCTGCCCCATTTACGAGCACAGATTTATCTTCCATGGGATGGAAAGCCTTGCCCCTATGGGGTATAAGAAGCACCTGTCTCAAAAGCCCTGACCTCCCCTCCATTCAAGGTCCGCCCTTTCTCATGTCTGCCCATGTGCCAATAACATTACTTTGCATGTTTGACCAGTTCTTTCCTTTCTGTACCGCATGAACCAACTCTTGTTCTTTAAGAGTTTGTTGGAAATAAGTCACAGTCTCAAATACCTGTCCATTTTATGCAAGCTGAGGGTTTTTATTTTAACTAAAAATTCATTAGGGTTTAGAGTAACTAGAATAGCTTTGGTGGGGGACATTTTACAAAGTAACTTTAAAGTACAATAAATTAAGGGCCTAACAAGTTGACAGAGCCCTTGAAAGCAATAGTATTTAACCAGTGCAGATACTTAGAAAAGCAATGCAAAGCTCAGAACATGCACACAGGTGAGCCAGCCAGAGGTAACGCCCACTGCAGCTGCCTGGACAACGCCAGTGCTCCTTCTTCTGTCTTGGGCCTCTCATCTTCCTGGGCCCGGACTCCCTGCTCCAGAGCTGAAGATACAAAATGGCTCCCCTGTGAGGAATGTTTCTACTGTGCATGGACCTAGAGTGCCCACGTGTGGGGATTGAACTGAGGCTGAGTGTGCCCACATGATGTGACGTCTGTGAGGCAGTCCCTCCACTGGTCATGGAGCATTTCAGTATCGGTCGGACCAAACACGGGACACAACTGCCCTTCCATCTTCTAGCAAAGGAAAGGGGAGGAAATGGCATGGTCTTGTGGTGAGCCACAGGGTGGGGAGAGGGGGCCATTTGCCTTGGGAAGCAGCCTACCCCTGGTGCAAACAGTAAGGGGGAGCTCGGCTGTGGAGAATGAAAAAAATAATGAAACCAAGTATTCCCATGTGCTGGGAATTTTAAACAATGGCAGGGATAAAACAAAACTCCCCATCAGGACAGACACCCCTACATCCCCCTGCTCTTTGAGGTGTGACTGGTGCCTTCAGTTAATGGCTAGATTTCACGTGGGAGGTGGTGGCTGCCTTTGTCACTTCAGCTGGTATTGCACATGGTCTTGGGCAGAGAGCATCAGGGTATGGAGGAAGCCATTTCCATCCTCAGCTTTTGCTAAGAAATCTTCCTCTTAATCCTTCAGAGAGAATCAGTGTTTACTGGGTTCCGTGAAACTGCTTCCCGGGGAGAGGGGCCACGCTGAGCAGTCACCTGGGCCAGCGGCTCACAGATGTGTGTATGTGTCTGTCAAACTTAAATAACACCCTCAGAGAGGCTTTTAAGCAGGGCATTGACATTTCACATTTGTGTTGCACAGAAATGACTTTGATGTTTGGTAGTGAAGGGCAAACTAGACAAGAGTCTATTGAAAAGTGATAAAAAAAAAAAAGATGAGGCTATTTGGTTGGACAGAGAAGAATTCCCACGAAATACCATATGATGCTTTTTTATCTATAACCCAAATAAAAGGGGTTACAGGGGTCATTCTGTCAGAAATGCCTTGTGGCAGTCAACTTGCAAAAATAATCTAAAAGCACACATCCTTACTTGAATAAGTGCTAACTGAATAGCAAAAAAAGTAAGTACTGCAGGAATTCTGAAGAGAAGGTATCAGTGTGACCTGAACTAAAGAATTGTACTTATTTACAATTCAATCAAATTTTCCCAGCCTAAAAACACTTTATGTTCATATTACATACACAAAATATAGTACCTTATTTCTGTTGGTTTGAATGCTCAAATATCAAATAATTCCTTATTTTTGTGTGTTGGACTATAAACATAAAAATACCAAAATGTTTTAATAATAGAGATTTTAAATTATTTTCATTTATCACTTTTCATTATTGACTAAATAAAATATATTTATATAAATTTAGTCATGCTTTATTTTATTTACTACTCACAAAAGGTGACTATAGAATCATCTCCATTTGCAGATAAGGAAATTGAGGTCCATTCCTGGCCATTGTGGTTCAGTTGGTTGGAGCACTGTCCTGTAAATAGAAAGGTCACAGGTTCGATTTCCAGTCAGGGCACATGCCTGGGTTGCTGGTTCAGTCCCCACTTGGGGCACATGCAAGAGGCAACCGATCAATATTCCTCTCTCACATCAATGTTTCTCTCCTTCTCTCTCCCCTCCTCCTCTCTCTCAAATCAATAAGCATGTCCTTGGGTGAGTGTAAAAAAAAAATAAAGGAAAGGAAATTGAGGTCCACAGAAACCAAGGTAAGGTCACTGGAATAGAAGCATGAGAGCTAGAATAGCAACCTAGGTCTTCCGAAAGCAAATCCTCTGCTCCATGGACTCAGAGACCTTTACAAAGCCACTCACCAAACCCAATTCACACTTCAGAAAAACAATCACTAACCACCACCCACGTGACATCAGCAACAGCGAGCGTTTTCCCTGGACAATCTTTCCATAAAGGGAATAGGGCACCTGATCAGGACACTCACTTAGAACATTTATCCACTGTGCTCCTTTTAAGCATTTTTTCTGGCCTCTGTCTCAATGGCACCAAGGACCTTTGCATGCACAAGTTTTCCCATCCAGAAAAGGAAGAGGAGACTTTGCAGCCTTGCTCAGTCTCTACAAGAGAGAATTCCTGGGAGAAGCAGAAAAGGAAGCAAGCCTCTACAGACAGCTCCAATGGCCAGAGGCAGCCCTGACCTGCTACTTTCATTCAACGCTGAGAAAAGGTTGGGTAGTTTTAATAGGGAACAAAACTTACTACACTCAAGAACTCACTTCAGGGCATGTCGAAGAGAGAACAGGCTGCTTTAAATATTTAGAGCTGAGTTGGGACTCAGCACTCACAAGAAGTCTGTCAAATGCATCATCACTCGTCTGCGGCAAGCAGCAGCCGACTGGGAAGAGGAAGTAATTTTCAATTAACTGATCACACAACATGCCTGAGCCTTTTTAGCAATAATCACTCAGAAATAAATACTCTTCCTTGATGGGCCAGCTGTCTCTGGAGCCTACTTGGAACCAAAGTTACTGGATATTCATGCAGTTACATCCCCATTGGTGGAAGTGTTCTGCCACCAAGGGCCTCACCCACCTGGGCACTCAGCTGGTGATGCACGGGACCCATGGAATCTGGGCTCCTGGTAGGAAGAGGAGGCT